GAGTTTAATAACTTAGATATATGGGAAATAGAGCCATAAGACTGATAAGATGATATTTTACAGGATGAAGATGAAGAAGTATACAAGAGAGATTTCAGTGCACCTACCCTGGAGGACCATTTCAATAAAACCATTCTTCCCAAAGTCATGCAGGTATGGGAACCCTTGATAACATGAGGGAGGAAAAAACCAAAACATAATGTACTGAAGCTGAGGCTGGGGTATGGTGTGTTGGGTCACATAACTTACCCATTCTTCCTTCAGGTCAAGAACTTTGGACGTTCTGGTCGTACCAAATACACCCACCTTGTGGACCAAGACACGACCTCCTTCGACTCAGCATGGGGCCAAGAGAGTGCACAGAATACAAAATTCTTTAAACAAAAGGCAGCAGGGGTACGTGATGTATTTGAGCGGCCATCTGCCAAGAAGCGGAAAACTACGTAAGATTCAGCTACTTCTTCCAACTGTGGGACACAAAAGGGAGTCTCAGCATCTGGTCCTTGATTTTCTTTCTCCATTATGTACATGGTCCCTGAGTGCAGCTGACTGGACTGACTGGCATACTCGTGTTCCTGGGTGGCTCCGTTTTTGAAGGTGCTTTTTGAGATTTGGACTCATACTCAGAAACTTGTTTTTTAAAAAAAAAAAAAAAAAAAAAGCACTATCCAGATGGGATTAGAGGCTTCCCACTTAAAACCATTTCTGAGAAATCTTAGATTTCTCCATGATGGCTTCCCATATTTACTTGGGATTGTTAGTGTCTTTTTCCAGCCCAATAGCTTGAGTCAGAAATGAGGGCATATAAATGGACAATGTGTTACTTCTACCTTAGGGTTAGCAGGCTTATTATCAGGAAATTTAAGCTATTTGAAACCTGTTTTGCATTTTTTGTTGGAGTCAACTTTTCTAAGGAAACATATTTTTGATCCATTTATGTGTGTGTCAAGAAATAAAAGAACTACACACCAGCATGTTATTTTGTCTTTATTTTATACCCAAACTAGAACCTTTATTACTTTAAAATACTAGAAAGAAAAAAAATACCATGTATATCTTAACAGATCCACAAATGATCCAAATTAAATGTATTTTTTCTATATTTGCATAATTTAAGATGCTAGGATAATCTAGTTAAATGATTTCTGTCTTCATTGCTTACTTTAACCTCATAAGTTTATTCCCCCACGAACATCATAACTTAAGGATACTACTTTATGTAAGGTGATAATTTCTTCTGTTAAATTTTCTGAGATTTTGGTAGGCATGATAATGCATGCCTGCAATCTCAGCACTCAGGAGGCTGAGGCAGGAAGACTGCCCTGAGTGAAAGGCCTGCCTGGGCTGCATAGTGACTTCAAAGCGAGCCTGAACTACATAGCCAGACCCAGAAAATCCAAAACCTGAGATTTCATAACTGATTTCTGTCTCCTGTAGAGTAGCCAGGGTCACTTTCTGGTTGTCCTAATCACTGTTTCAAATTTCCTAAATATCTGTGAATTCATAATACCAGATCTGCCACAAAGAACACTGAATATTTCTAAATTCATCCTCCTTTTACTTCTAAGAGGCAAAGTATTGTATAGTAAATTAAGTAAGTTTTAAATTAGGAAGAGGGGTTGGGGATTTAGCTCAGTGGCACAGCGCCTGCCTAGCAAGCACAAGGTTGTGAGTTCCAATTCCTGGTACCGGAAAAAAACTAAAAAAAAAAAAAAAAAAAATTAGGAAGGTATCACCAGGCGTGGCCTGTGCTTGTAAACTGCCAGCACTCAGAAGGATGAGGCAAAAGGATCACCCTGAGTTCAAGGCCAGCCTGGGCTACATAAGTGAGTTCAAAGCCAGCATGCACTACCTAGTGAAATCTTGTCTCAGTCAATCAATGAGGAAAGAATCTAGGAAAGGGAGTTTTCCCCTTCTTGTGCAGCCATTCCCAGTACTCACCTACATAGACCATCCCACTTCCCATACCCATTTTTGTCATTTTTCCCTCATGGTGGAAAAAAAAAGATTTGAAGGTATTTCTTTTACCTACAGAGATTGCCATTGCTGAAAGATAGAATAGGGCAGGACACCCAAGGAACAACCATCAAATAAAACGTTGGTAGAAAAAAAATAACAGGTACATTGAATAACCACAATATTTCTACAAAATGAGAAATTTCTACAGATCTATTCTTCTGGGACAAAACTTCAATAACCTTTGCCTTAAGCCCATAGAAGGAAATTATTTAAAGTATTAGTCTGATCCCATTAAGCAATAGTTTAAATTTGATGGTAAAATACTTTTTTTTTTTTTTTTTGTAAAATACTCTTTTTAAAGTATAGACACTAGATGACTCTTTAATACAAGAAGCTGTTTCCAGACCCCTGGCCTTATTATAAATATTGAGACCTATCCTATACTGATATGCAGAACTTATTAAGCTTTATACATGTAATAATAGAGCAAAGTTTCAATTGCATCAAAAGCTAATGGAATGGCAGCATGTCATTTTATAGCAACATTGTGGCTTTTCAAATTTGGTTTTCAGAAAAATTTAGCTTCAAGTAAATCTAGTCATATTTTTTAAAAGTGCTTTACAGCCGGGTGTTGTGGCACACCCGTGTGATCCCAGCATTCAGGAGGCTGAGGCAGGAGGATCATTGCAAGTTTGAGGCCAGCCTGACTTACATAGTCCAGGCCAGCCTGAACTACATAGTGAGACCTTGTCTTAAAAGAAAAAACAGGGTCTTTGCACATCCTTAAAACACCTCACTGGAAAAAATCATTAAGCCATTTTAATGCCCAAACATAAAAGTATGAGGACAAGCTGGGTTGGGGGCACACACCTGTAATCTCCTGCACTGCGGAGCCTAAAGCAGGACTGCCACAAATTTGAGGCCAGCCTGGGCTGCATGACAAGACCCTGTCTCAAATATAAAAAGCACAGGGGGACCAGAGATATAGCTCAGCACAGCACCTGCCTCACAAGCAGAAGGTCCTGAGTTCGATTCCTAGTACCACCCCCAAAAAACCAGCAGTTATTGGGGTGTTATATTAGTTACTATTGTGCACACCATCTAATTATCCTGGTAAGGCCTTGCTTTTTTTTTTTTTTTTTTGAGACAGGGTCTCCTTATGCAGTTCAAGCTGGCCTGAGCTCACTTTGTAGCCCAGGCTGGTCTCGAACTCACAACGATCCTCCTACCTCAGCCTCCTGAGTGCTGGGATTACAGGTGTGCGTCACCACGCCGTGATTTTTTCTTTTTCTTTTTTTGCAAGGTACTAGGGATTGAACACATGGAGTACCCTAGGCCTAAACTACATCCCTAGCTGGGCGTAGTAGTGCACGCCTGTAATCCCAGCACTCGGGAGGCTGAGGCAGGAGGATCACCAGGAATTTGAAGCTGCCCTGGACTACACGGTGAGTTTATGGCTGGCCTGGAGAATGTGGCAAAATCCTTCTTACTCACAAGAAAAAAAAAAACATTCTGAGACAAGATATTGCTAACACCACGTGTAGTGGCACATGCCTGTAATCCCAGTACTTGGGAGGCTGAGGAAGAAGGATCACCTCTAGTTTGAGGCCAGCCTCCACTAAATGGTGAGTTCAAGACTAGCCTGCACAACATAGTGAGACCTTCTCAGAAAACTAAAAACAAAAAAAATCTCACCAAATGCCCCGACTGGAGTTGAACTTGTCATCCTCTTGCCTCAGCTTTCTAATACCTGGGATTATAGGTACATAACACCACACCCACCTATGGCTTTGTAATTCTTTTAGGAATTACATGGGTCCCATCTGAGTGTCTACCATGAGGAAAGTAGCCAGGATTTTTGCATTTGCCAGCTCATCAATTCTTAAAACTTATTAGGCAATTATTTCATAGTAGAGAAAATAAACTCAGCAAGTGTGACCTGGGCAAAGTTGAACTTTTAAAGCCTCTCTACAACAGGAAATAGACTATAGAATGTGTTATGATGCAGAATTCAAACCTTTCATAGATCAGTTCTCCCTGCCTCTCATTTAATTAGGTTCAAAAATAACCTTTGGTAGAGTGGTACACACTTGTAACCGCAGCACTTAGGAGGCCAAGACAGAAGGATCAACATGAGTTCAAGGACAGCCTAAATGAACTACGTAACAAGACCCTCCCTAAAAAAAAATTAAAAAAAAAAAAGAAAATCAAAAATAACCTTTGAGCCAGGCAAGATGGTGCACACCTGTAATCCAGCACTCTAGGAAGCTGAGACAGGGGAACTGCAGGTTTAAGTCCAGCCTGGGCACCTTAGGAAGATCCTGTGTCAAAATAAAAAACAAAGGGCTAGTGATGTAGCTCAGTGTGAAGACCCTGGGTTCAGTCCCCAGTACCATCAAAACAGAAAACAATCTTTGATACCTGTATTATTACCATATCCCCAAGTGAAACTCTGGTGGCCTATGAACTGAGCTGGCAACCTATATCTATTCACTGTGGCTCCTAGGTAGGTGCTAGCCTTTCAGGTGTTCCTAAGCTATCCTGGAGACACCGGTCATTAGGTGCAGTAACTGGTAAGACTCCAAACGTACCCTGAATACTGTTGAAAGCCAGTCTGATACCTAGGATGATTGGGACACAAAGGACATTCCTATAATGAACATAGATTTATTAAGGGTTGCAGAAGGAAGGATCATTTAAGTTATACTCCAAAATATAATTTCTGGGCTGGGGATATAAAGCTCAGAGGCACAGCGCCTGCCTGCACAAGGTCCTGAGTTTGATTCCCAGTACCAAAAAAACTGTTAAAAAAAAAAAAAGCCAGGCATGGTGGCATAGGTCTGTAATCCCAGCATTCAGGAGGCTGAGGCAGGAGGATCGTTGTGAGTTCATGACCAGCCTGGGCTACAAAGTGAGCTCAAGGCCAGCATAACCTGCATAGGGAGACCCTGTCTCAAAAAGGAAAAAAAAAAAAAAAAATCCTACAGCAAAATGTATAAAGCACTTGACCCAAGATAATAACTGCAAAAGAAAAAAGAAACTGCAAAAGGAAAAACTCTTTATTGCAATAAGTTAGCGAAAGAGACATGACTGGGAAAGCTTCAGTTGGTTAGGGCAATGAGAGCTTCCACCACGTTGCCCATGTGCTCCCGCAAGCTCCTTTCCGCAGCTGCTCGGGAGATCTCCATCTCTGTCATCTGTAAGATAAAGATCCACTATGTTACCTCTGCCTCCTTTCTGGCATTAATGTGCCACCAAACTTCTGACTCCACCTATGTAAGCAAACTATCCAAATTAACCAAAACAACCTCCCCTGCCCATGAACTAGTAAAAAGCAGCGCTACTCACTATCAACTCCAGATCTTCCTTCTTGATAGTGACCTTTGCCAGTTCCTTCTCCCTGCAAAATATTATGTACTTCAGTCCTTGTATTGCACCTCCACAAGCTCTTGCTGCCTTGCAAATACGGGAATCCTGATGAACAAAGGATTTCAACTAACATCCCCGTGCTTCCCCCTAGAGGCTTTAAGCAGCAAGTGTCACCAGGAGGCGTTGCTTACATTAACAAGTTAAGCCCAGATCTTCGGGAATTGCTGAGAGGGACAGAACGGTACAAAGGCTTAAGGATGCCCTTTGTTTTAGCTAGGGGATGGCTCAGGGGCTGCAGACTTACCGCTCCTGTCGGGCCTTCTGCTCCCGGGACCGCCTGTCTCCGATGACGGACATCGCCTACGGAAACACAGGTCTCGTCACTGCACCACTGTTCACAGCTCCCGACGATCACCTAACAGTGGGTCCCGGCGGCTCTTCCCGCACGCTGACCACGCGTCAGCGCATCTTCACCAGGCTTCTCCTAGGGCCGCGGTCCTCCCCTCTCCGCGCCCTGGGACCCGCACCCCAGCCCAAGCGGGGGCTTCCCGCCACAAGCGCGGACGCTCCTGCAACCTCACCGTCTCCAAATTGGAGCTCTGGATCTCCTTCTCCTCCGCATAGTCGGTGACCCGCTCTAGGTCCGCTGCCCCGCTGTCATGCTTCCGCGGTTTCTCCGGGGGCCGCTCTGGGCAGCTGGTCTCGGTTTCCAACTCCAGCTCCACGTCCCCCTCGGTAGCCATGTCTATCTCACAGGCCGCGCTGCTCGGCAACTTCCGGGGCCGCACTTCCGCCCGGGCAGGGGCGGGGCCAGCATCCGGCCGGTCTCCCCAGTGGCCGGGTTCTAGAAGCTTCAGCGAGCATGGGGCGCTTCTGGAACTTCCTCGAGGACTGTAGTGTTTTCCGCAAAGCATTGTAGCCCTAAACTGTCCCCGCTCCAGACCACCCGGGCCACCTTCCTGGCTTTTCACCTAAGGACAGTTCCGCCTCACACACCAGGGAATTTGTCCAACCGGGATGGGTGCTGTCTAATTCTAACTCCATTAAAACACTAATCCCTGGGCCAGCTGTGCAAACCGCCCTTCTGGGAAACTGACAGTGGCCCCGCACCTCATGTGGCCTCCGCTCCTGGGGCAACGGGACGGGCGGGTGGGCGGCAGCAGGCGCCGACCTTGTCCGCTTCCAAGCTGGCAGTTCTAGGTCTGATGGGCTCAGGCGTGATGAGTGCAGGGCTGGGGCTGGCACCGCAGTCGGGCAGCATGGCGCCGTAAGGGAGCTTGGCGGACAGGTCTGAAAGGTCCCTAAAGTAAAGGCTGTTTCGAAAGCGAGAAACATACAAAGCGGCTGAAGCTGGGGAGGAAAACACGCAGAGCCGATGAGGCCAGGCCTTCTTTCCTCCACTGCGCTTCAGGTTCTTGGCCTCAATGAAAGTTCGCCTCTCCTCCCAGATGTTTAGGTATGGAAAGGCTGATAGCTGAACCCTGCACCTAAGCCCTTAGCTCGGAACAAGGCATTCTGAGGATCCTTGAGTAAATGAAAGAAAACGGAAAACTTTGGAACTCAGCCTCCTATATTAACCTCCTATATACTACATTAATGTGTACCTTGCCTCAGCAAATCTCCATTTGGCTGTCCTGTACCTGATTTTCCCCAGGTGTCCTTCTGTTTATCTGTTCCTTGTGCCAGCTGCTGCCCCTCGAGGTGACCCTCAGCTGCCTGTTCTACATCCCCCTCTTCCTCATGAGGACCTCTGCAGTCGGCTGCCTCCTGCTGCCAAGGTCAGTGGTGGAAAGGCTCTAGGGCAAAGGACGGGGAGGGGGTAAGCAGGAAGGGGTAAGCAAAGTGGGGAAAGAAAACAGGAAGAACACTCAGAAAAACAACAGATTCACACTGGGGTCAGGGGACAGAGGAGTGGCCATACCTCTGCAGGCATTAAGAATGGCCATCCAGATGCCCTCAGGGCTGTGTGCCCACCTCTTCGGCCACTCTTCCTGTCCTGTGCTGAGTGGCTAGGGGCTGTTTACGAAGTATGTGCAGGAACGGCCACCTTCCACCTAATGCAGGCTGTGCTCCTGGTCCACCTCCACGCCCCCAATCAGCCCGAGGGCACAGGTGCGTAACAGGTTTATGTGTACTCTGGGTGGGGAAGGGACAGGGCAAAATAGGAGCTAGGGAAAGGAAATTCTGGAATAAGTAACACTGTAAAAGAAAACAGGTTTAAGTCCCTGCTTCCACTGCGCTTGCTGACAGTGAGCCAGACATTTACCCTCTGGGTAGCCAGAGTGGAAAGAACAATGAAGTTATTGTATGCATGCCCTTTGTAAAATGTAAAACGCTGCCTAGATGGTATTTAGGTATCTTGAGTTACAGTTTGAAATATAGTGCAATGAGCCTGTTCCCAGGCCCTCTCACTTGAGATTTGTTCTCTTTTCCTTTCCTTGGATCTCTTCTCTGTCCTCTTTCCAAAAAACTTCTGCTCTTTCCTTCTCCCTCACCTTCCCTTTGCCTTGTCTTCTTGGTTGGGATATCTGCTGTTTTTGCAGCAGCTGGGCCTTGCACAAGGTAAACACTCATTCTACCAGAGTCCTTTTTGAGAGAGTCTAGATCACTAGCTGGCCTCAAACGTATGACTGCCTCAGTCTTCTGAGTAGCTGTGATTATAGGTGTGTTTCACTGTGCCTGGCTCTGAGGCTGGTTCTCTCTCCTTCCTAACCAGCTTCTGATTCCTCAAGCTACTGTTCCTGTTAGGTCTCTGTACTGCTGCCTGTCATTACTGATGAGTATCTTTTTTCAGTAATCTCACACCTCAGTCAGCAGTAGTTAAAAAGGCTTGCTAACACAGAGTGGGTAGGAAGAGCAGCAGTAACATGTAACAGCTACATTTCCCACTGGTGCCGACCTTGCAGCCAGCCATTACGTTGGCATCTGTGGAGGCTTCACATTCATTCTGTTGCTGATGCTTATCAGAGCCTTTGCACACTCCTGGAACAAGAACTGGTAAGGGGAACATAACCCTAAAAGCTCTTCCAAGAGAGGTTGTCCAGAATTGCCGGATGCAAGAAGGCTGGGGGCAAAGGGCACATCAAGTTGCTGGAACCAGTTTCCCACTGAGCAGTTCCAAAAAGCTTAGAACTACGGTAACTCTGTGGCCCAAGTGGGATGAGTAACCGCGTTCATCAGTAATTGGTAAAACCAAAGTGTTGGAGCTTCAAGCCATTCCTCCCACCCTCCTCAGGCAAACACGTGCAGCCTGGGACTGCAGCTGGTTCCTAGCTGTACTGCCGGCCACCCTAGGATTCTTGGCGGGTGTGGAAGCTGTTTCTGTTCTACCACTACTCACATCCAGCTGGCTGCCTGCTCAATAGGATGCTTAGCCTGCACCTCTGTTTTTGTGGCCTCCTCTCCATCGCTCTTTGCATCTGAGTGGGTATTTGAGCTAAGCCAGTGATGGTGAACTTTAGTTTTCAATGATACAGCCTGCTGCCATGTGTGCCACAGGTTCACCACCAATGCCCTAAGATAGTCTAGGTTTGGGGGAGACTTTTTTTTTTGGTTTTGGTTTTTTCCGATACCAGGAATCAAACTCACGACTTTGCACTTGCCAGGCAGGGACTGTGCCGCTGAGCTTAATCCCCAGCCCCCAGACTTAGAATTTTAGCAAATGTCACTGGACTTTCCACTGTCAATTAGCCAATAAAAGAATCTGTTTTCTCCCAAGGGATGTGGAGGCAAAAGTGCAAGTAGCAGTGGGACTGCAGAAATCATCGTGTTAAAAAAAAGATACCTATTCTCCCAGAGCAACCCCAAAATGGCCTTCTACAGGCCTCTTTCATCAGCTGCTGTATCATGTATCTGACCTTCTCTGCATTATCCAGCCATCCTCCAGAGATAGGACCTGGACTACCAGTGTCAAGAACTTTTCCACTCTTGCCAAACACTCAACTCTTTATTCTAAACACTTTTCTCTTGCTCCCTGCCTGTAACCCTTCAAGGACAGAACATACCATGTCTGCCTAAGTAGAACGGCAACACCAAAGACCACACACCTCACTAGCCGTGTTGAGGGCATCATGTATATTTGTGTGCTGTTTGCTTGGTGAGTAAAAATGTTAAGGGGGAAGATGTTAAAAAGGGAAGATGCCCAGGACTGGGAGGGTCAGTCACAACAATGTCTAGGACCATGGTTTATTTAAACTTTAGAGTAAGACTAGAACTAGAAAAGCTTCCAATGAACAGGGACAATTTCTAAAAATAGCACTTTGTCAGATGATATGTATGAGATGATGGGGGTGGGGAGAATGACCTGAGAATTCAAATTTGTACAGATTTCAGGGCCTTCACATGCATGGATTTCTAAACCTTTGTTGAAAAGTGGCTCAGGTTAGTAGTACTCTCCTGGGGATTACTAATGTGGACAAATCAGCTGTAAATGCCCCCAAAGAATCCTCACTTTTGACTCAACCAGCTTGAAAACTTTTTTCTCACCAATGAGGTTTCTGATCTGGCTGAAGACTTTAGGCCCTTGTGGATCATGGCTGACAGCTATGAGTTCCAGGTGAAGATCAAGAGCTCAATATCCCCAACACCCTCCCCAACCCAGACATACGCGCGTGCACACACACACAAACACACACCCTACCAACCTCTACCCACAATGCTCAGATTCTAGCTATGACCTTTTATTGAGTACCCACAATGTGCTAGGCACTGTGCTAGGTAATTTACATAATCTCATTTAATTTAATCCTCACAACAACCCTGTGAGGTAGGTATTTGCTCCATTTTACAAATGGAGAAATTGAGGCACAAAAGATTAAAACATCTTACCAAAGTTTGCATAGCCAGTTATATGCTGGAGCTAGAACGTGAACCCAGGTGTGCCTCCGCTTCTTACACTAGAGAAATCTTTTTCAAAGAGTTTCTTAGATCAACACTTTCAGTCCTTGGAAGCCATTCTGCAACATGCTGCCTCCTGTTTTGCAGAAGCCCTCACTGGTTCTAGTGCCCCCTAACAGTGGAGCCAGAGGATAGTGAGTGTCAAGTGATGAGTCTTAAAAAATGGTGGGACTCTGTATAAAGCGCCAAAGAGCCCTCAAAAGGCTTCATGAAAGAAGCTGTGGGGGAAGGAAGCAATATTGCTTCCCATCAACCCTCCCCATTCCCCGCAGGGTAAAGCAGTGGGGCAGCCAGGCTGGCTGACCAAGAAACCCCTCCAGCTTCTCCAAGGCAAGCCCAGGATCTCTCCCACAGCTCTTCTGCCTTTCTGCTTTACTGTCATGGATACCATTACTCGCTCAAGTAAGATGCAGGTGGGCTGAGATAGTCTCCTAAAATCCTAGCTTTTTAAGGAAAAGAACAATTCAAGGCCACTCCAAAGAGTTCTCAGGTGAGTCTTCCACGATTGTGGGGAGGTAAGGACAGTTTAAGGCCCCATGTATCCTCTAACCAGTCTTTGGTTCCACAGATATGAGGAAGCAGAACTGGAAAAGTCATTCACCAACGCTACTGGGCAACCTTCTGGGTCAAGACTGTCTTTTTCCTTTTTTTTTGTCTTTGAGACAGGGTCTTGCTAAGCGTTCAGGCTAGCCTTGAGCTCACTTTGTAGCCCAGGCTGGCCTCTTAACTCCAAACGATCCTCTTGCCTCAGCCTGCTGAATGCTGGGATTACAGGTGTGCGCCACCATGCTCAGCAAGACTGTCTTATGCTGGGCCTGTGTACTCTCTAGGAATGCTACTAGCACCGCTCTGTTGGTCCTCCACCCAGGACCCCCAGTGCTACCTCTTCAGGTAACACTGCAATCCCTTTAATATTGCCAGATAACAACCCCATCTTTCAAGAAACTGGCATGTACCCCTAATCTTGGAGCAGGGGAGCTATCCAGCCCCGCCTCCCCAATACCTCAGGACATAATGGAGAGTTATCTCACCTTAGCTTAAGTCAATACTATGCCTGGACTGAAAGCCCTGGGCAGTTTACTATTTACTAGAGCTTATTTATGTCTTTATCCCAATCCAAAAGCCTAACTCCCAAATAAGCAGCTCAGGAACCACTGCTGACCCGAGCAGACAGTGTGGCACCAGCTCTTTCCTGGCTCCAAAAGTGAGGTGGGGAGTTGGGGACAGACCAACAGGGACTCAAGACTTGGATCTGCCCTTGCAGATAACAACGAAAATAAGCCGTTCAACTCTGGGCACAGGGGCTGAAGCCCAGAACCACAGAACAAATTGGGGCACAGCAAGAAAGGACCACAGAAGCTATCCCAGGTTTTAATCCTCATCTTAATTAAGGTCAAAGGAAGCCAGACAACAAAAACCACCCTCATTCCAGGAAGAATGACAAAAGAATGTGAACACCTGAGAGCAGCTAACCATGGAAAGTCAGGGAGCAGCAGGATTTTTTTGGCCAACTTTCAAGCAGACAAACAACCCGAGGAAGAATAACAAAGAGCAGTATAAACTTAGGTCTTGGAGCCTTCCCTCTTATGCCCTCAACTCCATCCTTGGGATGGTGTTCAAAGTCTGGGTTGGGGACAAAAATCACAGAAAAGAAGTCTGTCTGGTTCTGAGGAGTCCTCTACCACATATCCAGAGTACTTTGTCATAATAAAATAAAAACTTCTCCTGTGATGTTCCACTCATTAAGTCTACATAACCACATAGTCTCTTAGGAGTCTAAAGACTCTCCCCTTACCATGGGAAAGGGCAGGCACTCTTCCATCCCCATCCCCCCAAATCCCCAGTCAAACCAGGCGCTCAAGGAATTACAAAGCTACTTTTAATACTTCGGGGTTTGCCCCACAGGAATAAAAAACACTGGGAAAAGGTAACCTCCTCACCCCCAGGAGTGGCCCAGGGGGAGACAGGCTACCTGAGGGGAAGGAAGCACAAAAGGGACCCGCTGCAGACTCAGGGCAAAGGGAATGCCATCGGTGCTGGGACCTGTGAGCACTACAGGAGGAAACGCGAGCATGGTGGGACTGGCTCCAGGCACACAGGCGAAGGGCAAGAGGGTTGGACACGAAGCCACAAAGCTACTTGGGTTCCTCCTTCTTCTCGTTTGCCTTTTTCTGCTTCTGCTGCATGATCTCCGAGTCCCTGGGGGTAGAGATGATGGGGCACTGGGAGGTACCAGAGGGCAAAAAGAATAAGATGCAGGGGGGTGAAGGGCACAAAGGATAAGATGGAAGTGGATGGGACAAAGTTCAGCATGTGGCTGCTGTATTCCCACCCTAGGAGAACAAGAGGAATCCAGCGGAGGCTCAAAAGGCAATCAAGTCTCCATCAACAGCCATCTGGCTGTAGCCCAAGGGGTCAAAAGTCTGGCCAGTGTAGGTCCAACACTCCCTAGTCTGTGCTGAGTACCACACCCAGCAGCACCACTGAGCAAATTGCCAGAAGGGAGGAGAAATGAACTATAAGGAGGGCCAGAAGTACTGACTGTCATAACCATAACTGTGCTCGAAATGTGAAGCTCCCTGCCCTTGCCCTTAAGGTCACACCCAGGGGCACTCCGAAATCAGACCGAGGGCAGGCATCCGCCCCAGTCCTTCCAGTAAGGATGTGACCTAACAATTTAAAGGGTGGGGAGGAAATAAAACCTAGAGGAAGCAATGCACTCTGCCCCTCACTAGTCCAGTGTGACGCCCTGAGGTCGCTCTCTTCCCTAGTCCGACCCTTGGTCTGCCCCAGCTCTCCCGGCCCGTCCCGTCCCGTCCCGTCCCTGGGGCTACCTCTGCTTGCGGGCGGCAGCAGAAAGCCCGTCGTCTCGGCGCTTCCCCTTAACCGAGTCGCTCTGCTTTTTCATATTCTTCTGGCGGGCGAGCTCACGCTGGTTACCGCCTAAGGAGACAAGGGGGAAAGTGAGGCGCGGGGCCGCCGCCACCCGGGCTCGG